GGAACCTGTGCCAGCACCTCAGCATCCTCACAGGGAAGAACTCCTTCCTTATATCCAACCTGGCCTTCCCCTCACTGAAGCAGGCACAGGTCCCTGTCTGCTCCATCACCATGGGCCTCATCTCGCTGTGATTTACGGCTCCCTGGGGACCGGCACCACTTCCCAGGTTTCCGTGGCAGCACGGAAGGGGTTTGCACCATTCCGAGGTGCCTCCACACCTGTGATCCCAGCCACATACTTCTTTTGTTGGCTAAGGAACGACTGGCAGCCCTATTTCACACGAGCACCTCAGCTGCTGGCTATTTTACGGCGCTCGCTGTATGTTATTCAAACTTTATATACATTGCAGACCCTCTCAGCAGCCTGCACCTGGTCTGGGGCAAAGCTGAGCCTCAGAGAGAAGAATGTGCTGTAATGCAGCAAGTTATTACAGGATAAATATTTATAAGCCCCTGTAAATATTTGCCATCAGTTCCCTCCTGGGACGAGGGGGCAGACGGTCAGAGTTTCAGCAGTGCTGAAGGCATTAGCTGTCATAGTTCTTTATGTGCTATCTCAGCTAGTAAAGCTTTTGTTGATTGTGCTGTTCTAGCATTTAATGGTGCTAATTTCACACTAGCAGGAGACAGCGGCTGCAATTGGTGCCTGCCTCGATCCTGGTGCTGCTTGATGGCAGCATCCTTTGCTTTGGGATCTAAAGCAAATACCCCCTTGGGAGCCCAGGAGCTGTCCTGCTGCAGGAGGAGGTGTGAGAGCCCCATGGCGCTGGGGTGATAGAGGATGTCCCATGTGGGGACCTGGCGGGTGGCTGCATCCTTTCCCTGGAGCAACGTGGGTACCACGAGCCCCGGCTGGTCTCATCTCCACCATCACTGCCGCCTCTGTTGGGGCTGGGACGGTGGGAAACCATGGCAGAAATGCCAGGGCAGGCAAGGCCATGACTCCTCCATGCCCTCAACCGCAGCAGTAAAACAATGGGCCCTAGGCCCTAGCGCTTGTGGGGACTATTTGGGGGCTCCACTTTGCTGCTCATGCACGAAAGGCAGTCATTTGGCAAAAATCAGCTCAGTTAGCAGGCATTGTTCCTAAAGAGCCCGGAGCTGAATGGGCTCAGGGCTAATATATTCTATTATCCCACGCCTGCCTCTTTCCCGGGGTGGCACGGAAGGAAACGTGCATTCCAGGGCTGTGCGGGCAGGGCAGAGCAGGGAGGCCAGGAAGGGGTGGAAGGGCACGTCCACCCCAAGTGTCCCTTCGATGCCGAGTGCTCACTGATGGGGGATGTGGATATGGATGCGATGTGAATGTGGTTAGATATGGATGTGGATGGATGTGGACATGGACATGGATGTGGATGTGGATGTGGATGTGATGTGAATGTGGATAGATATGGATGTGGATGTGGATGTGGATGGATGTGGACATGGACATGGATGTGGATGTGGATGCGATGTGAATGTGGATAGATATGGACGTGGGTGTGGATGGATGTGGACGTGGACATGGATGTGGATGTGGATGTAGATATGGATATGGATGTGTATGAGAATGGATGTGGATGTGATGTGGATATGGGTAGATGTGGATGGATGTGGATGTGGATGTGAATGTGATGTGGATGGATGTGGACACGGATGTGGATGTGGATGTGGATGAGAATGGATGTGGATGTGATGTGGATATGGATAGATGTGGATGAGAATGGATGGGGATGTGATGTGGATATGGATAGATGTGGATGTGGATGTGGATGGATGTGGATGAGAATGGATGGGGATGTGATGTGGATATGGATAGATGTGGATGTGGATGGATGTGGATGTGAATGGATGTGGATGTGATGTGGATGTGAATGGATGGGGATGGATGTGAATGTGGGTATGGATGCAGACATGGATGAGAACGGGTGTGGATGTGGATGGATGTGGAGAAGAGGGATCTTTGGTAGGGGCAGAGTGCGTGGTCCAGCAGGTTGTGGGTGAACAATGGAGCCAGGAAGCAGCGCAGCTAATGGGGCTGTTGAAAGGGGAGGGGAGCACTGGGGAGAGGCAAAACGGGCACATTGCAAAGCCTCTCATTATTCCATAAGAACACGTTCACCCCTGTGGGAGCGGCAGCAATAAATGGCTGTAAAGCAAAGCGAAACGATGACATTAGAGACTATGCAGAGATTTCACAACCAGTGGGCAACGTAACTGTGAATGGGAACGGCTGCACAGGCTTCCCTCTGAAAAGTTAATGCCCAGTTTGGAAGGGGTTTGTTGGAAGAGCAGCCCTTTCTGGGCAGCTGCTATTTAAGAGGCCTCGTACTGTGTATTAAGCAATTTAGTGGTCTAGACCAGAGCTGTTGGCTTTTTTCTGCCTTTTTTTCCCTTCTGCTTTTTTGGTTTTATTGGGTTGTTTTTTTTGTTTTTTTTTTTGAAGAAAACCCATTTTCTGGGCAGTTGTATTCCAGTGGACAATTCCTGCCGGGATTCCCACCAACGCTGCTGCTGGGGATGTGGTATCGGATACAGAAGAGAGAAGGGAGCCAGCAAAAGGCCCTTCCTGGGTTGAGTTCAAGAACTGTCCAGGCTCTGAGCGTGGATGGGTTTTGCAGCCAAACGCTGTCCTGTAGCCTTCCCACTTGGATCAGGAGCATTGGCCTGTGGCCTGGTGAGGGTACAGCCAGCCCAGGGTCAGTGCGGGGTGCTCCAGCATCACCCATCACTGCAGTGCCCATGAGAAGGATGGTTTCCATGCTCCGTGTGGACTCAGCTGAGTCCCCATCCTACCTATGATGTCTCTATCACTGTCATGTTTCTATGGCACTACTCAGGCTGTAGTATGCTGCTGTCACACAGAGGATGCTGCTGGGATAACCAGAATCCTGACTGGTTTTATCACAGTGTTACTGCTCCCCAACTTCCCAATCAGAGTTTCCCAAGTCCCCATCCTATCTATGATGTTTCCATCACTATCATGTTTCTGTGCCTGCAGGGACGCTGCTGTGTTTTCTACAGTCTCATGAGATGTCTCAGTGTTTCTAAACTGATTTGGGTAAAAGCATCTTCTAGGCTCTCAGAGTTTCCCAAGGGATGAGAAGTCCATTCTGCAGCAGTTTCTTGGTGTTTTGCTCCCGTTTCTTGAGCCCAAGCAGCAGGAGAGGGTCTGCTCCATCCAGTTGCCTCTTAAGCTGCTGGCACCTATGTCGTAGGCTCCTCTGGTTTACTGCTGAATTCTCCACTTCATTAGCAGTGCTAACTGGCCTCTCTCTTCTGCTAGCCCGCAGGTGAAAGTGGCTCTTTCATGCTTCCAGGCAGCAGAGCCTCTTCCATTTACCTCTCAACGAGGTGTAGTTCCTGTCTTAAACAGCACGAGCTGTTGAAGCAAAAGGCAGCAAGAGTAACGGGAGCATTGTATGAGTTCAGAGGAGGGAGCTCAGGGGAGCTCCAGGGACAAGTGGGCAACCCGATGGCCAGATCTTGGGCACATGGGGACTGAGATGGCTCCTTCTGCCCCAGCTTGTGAGGAGGGCCACAGCGTGCCCAGCTCTTGGCTTTGGAGGGCAGCAAGGCACTGCAGGCCCTCGGGAGAGCAGCAGCCCATGCCTGCCCACTGCAGTGGGATGCGTGGAGGCAGCTGTGGCCTGAGAAGCTGGCAGGAGCAGTCCCCCCATTAAGCTCTGGACCTGGGGCTGACAATGCTGCTCATCCACTCTACACATGCCCTTTTCTTGCACAAGGTGGTGAGGGACTGGCACTGCTGCTGCTGGGGAGCAGAGGATGCTGCTGGGGAGCAGAGGATTCTTCTGTGGGACTAGAGGTGCTGCTGAGAAGCAGAGGATGCTACTGGGGGACTAGAGGTACTGCTGGGGAGCAGAGGATGCTGCTGGGGAGCAGAGGATGCTGCTGGGGGACTAGAGGTGCTGCTGGGGAGCAGAGGATGCTGCTGGGGAGCAGAGGATGCTGTTGGGGAGCAGAGGATGCTGCTGGGGAGCAGAGGATGCTGCTGGGGAGCAGAGGATGCTGTTGGGGAGCAGAGGATGCTGTTGGGGAGCAGAGGATGCTGCTGGGGAGCAGAGATTTCTGCTGTAGGACTAGAGGTGCTGCTGAGGAGCAGAGGATGCTGCTGGGGAGCAGAGGATGCTGTTGGGGAGCAGAGGATGCTGCTGGGGAGCAGAGATTTCTGCTGTAGGACTAGAGGTGCTGCTGAGGAGCAGAGGATGCTGCTGGGGAGCAGAGGATGCTGTTGGGGAGCAGAGGATGCTGTTGGGGAGCAGAGGATGCTGCTGGGGAGCAGAGATTTCTGCTGTAGGACTAGAGGTGCTGCTGGGGAGCAGAGGATGCCGCTGTGCGCACAGCGGCTGCTTTCACACAGCTCCCGCTGCCCCAGCAGGACCGGAGCCCTCTTTCCCAGGTGCGATTCCTCTTTAAGAAACAGACCAACTTCTCTCCTGGTTTGTTGTTGGTTTTTTTTTTTCCCCAAATTCCACAGGTTTTGCTGGAATTTGTCCACAGGGAAATCCCTGCACGGCCCAGGCCAGCTCCTCGCGCACATCTGCAGCCTCGGAAAGCCCTGCAGCCCTTGGGGGCTCCCCGGTGCCGCCGAGCCCCGCCGCTCGCACACGGCACCTGCCGGTGAACCGGGACCCGCTGGAGGGGGGGACGGGGGACGGGGAACTGGACCCGGGGCACGGAGCTCCCTGCCCGGGGGCGCTCGGCGCCGTCGGGGCCGGGAGGGGTGGGGCGGGGCCTTAGCGGTGCCGGCCGCTGATTGGCTCCTGAGGCCATTGATTGACACCCGCGGGAGAGCGCGCGGCGGGCGGCGCCGCTCTGATTGGCTGCCGGGGGCTCACAAACCCGCGGCGCGGCGCGGCGGGGCCAGACCGGGGCCGGGACCGGGACCGGGGCGGGCGCGGAGGCAGCGGAGGGGTCGGGGCGGCTCCGAACGGGGACGGGGAGGGGAGGGGGGGGGGGTCCCGGGCAGGGCGCAGCGGAGGGGCCCCGGCAGCGGGCGGCGCCGTCGGGGTTTACCGTGGCGGCGATGGGCGGCGTGCGGGGCGCCGCGCTGCGGGCGCTGGTGTCGGTGGCCGCCGGGCTGGTGGCGTGCGGCGGGGGGAGCGAGTACGACTATGTCAGCTACCAGTCCGACCTGGGCCCCTACCCCGGCGGGCGGTTCTATGCCAAGCCCCACCAGTGCGTGGCCATCCCCGCAGACCTGCGGCTGTGCCACAGCGTGGGCTACGATAAGATGGTGCTGCCCAACCTGCTGGACCACGAGACCATGGCCGAGGTGAAGCATCAGGCGAGCAGCTGGGTGCCGCTGCTCAATAAGAACTGCCACATGGGCACCCAGGTCTTCCTCTGCTCCCTTTTTGCCCCCGTCTGCCTGGACCGGCCGGTGTACCCGTGCCGCTGGCTCTGCGAGGCCGTGCGTGACTCCTGCGAGCCCGTCATGCAGTTCTTTGGCTTCTTCTGGCCCGAGATGCTCAAGTGTGACCAGTTCCCCCAGGATGATGTCTGCATTGCCATGACAGCCCCCAATGCCACCGAGGTCTCCAGGCCCAAAGGTAAGGTGTGAGCGGTGCTGCAGCCCTGCTCCTGGTGCTTGTCTCTGGGTGGATGGGGCAAGTGCTGGTCCAGGAGGGGCTGTGCAGGACTAAAAGGGTCTTGGGGCAGGAGGAGACTCACTTGAACTCTGGTCCTGCGGCCCATGAGGGAGGAGGGCAGGATCCCTCTATCCCAGAGCCAGGCCCTGAGGCAGATGGTGCAGGGGCACGGGGGGTTTGTGGCCGCTCTGGTCCCCATGATGGACCAGGGCTCTGACCCTCCATCCTCAGGTGCTGCTCTGCCCTGGCAGTGGTTTCTCTCCCGAGCTGGACTCCTGCTGTTGTTGGCAGCACAAGGATGTGCGATGTGTCCCCGTTGTCCCAAAAACACTGCCTGACCAGGGTCAGTAGTGACAGTAACACCGGCACAGTGTTGAGCGATCCCTGCTTCCTGAGCAGCCCCGGGGGCGAGAGAAGAAGGGGCTGGGGAAAGGGGACGTGGTTCTTGTTTGCTGCCATGTGTGTGGCAGGGCTGTTGAGTGCCAGCCTGCCTTGTTTGTGCGAGTTGCAATGAGTGCAGCTTGCTGCTCAAAACTCACAGTAACTGATTATCCCGGTGCCGCTCCGGCATTCCGCATCGGAGCGCTCAGGGAGGGATGTTTGCAGAGGGCGATGCTTCCCCGTGTCCGGAGCCCCATTGGAAGGGATGGGCATTCCTGCTTTCACTTGCAGGGGATGGAGGGGGGGGACCCACTCATGGGGCTGAGCAACTCCTGTGGCTTCTGTGCTGTGTTCGGAGTTCATCTGGAGGGGACGTGGCCCTTTGCAGTGACCACTTGTGTGCAGTTACCATCCCAGACAAAGGCTTCACGTTGGGCTGGGCTCCCCCAGCCCGCAGGGGTTATCCTGCTCATCCCAGCGGGACTCATCCTTCAGAGTCATGGAACAGAAGGGGAGCAACCTGTTGTGTCTCGACAGGGGCATGTGGAGGCAAAGGGGTGAGATGAGTGTGCCCGTGCCGGGGCTGAGGTTTGGCTGCTCCCTTTGGATCCATCCTCTCCCCCCGGCGGCACCCACGCTGGCCTCCTTGCCATGGCTTGTGCTCGCTAACGCCATGGCTGGAGGAAGCTCTTTGTTTTCCAGGAAGGCTCTAAATTCATCTGTCCCGTGTGAACCTAGACCCTTGGTCAAGACCACAGCCGTGTCCTGTGCTGCGGGTGCAAAGGTCACTTTTATTCCCTAGGGCTTGCAGCCAAGCTGCTCCTTGGGCAGCCAGATCTGAGCTTGCTGAAGAGCTGCCCCCCTTCCAAGGTCCAAAACAGTGTCTGAGCTGTTTGCAGGTCGTTCATGTCTGCATTAATCACCCAAGACCTGGGAACAGGCTTCTAAATAAGCAGCATCTGCAAAGCTTTTCCTTGTGTGGTTTAACTTACTGATCACCTGTCTTGATGGCACCATTGAGGTGGGACGCTCAGGTGGGACCCCTTTGGTCTTGAGCACTGGGCTGTGTTTCCTGTTGATCCCAAGAGGGTCAGAACCCAGCAGTGTCCCCCCTTCTCTCTGGGCACTCGTAAGAACGAGCCCTTTCACTGTGTTTTCCCCCCCCATTAACACCTCGAAATTGGAATTTGTTCCTGCCTCTCAAAGAGCTGACCTGCAGAATTCCTTTCTCCTTAAGCACGGGGCGGTAAAGCCTGCAGGCCCGCAGGATGCATCAGGGGAGTTGCAGATTAATATAGTATTACACATTCCTTCCCCTGCCCCTGGAGTAAGCTGGCTCTAAAGCCAGGCAGTAGAAAACGGTCAGCAGGGAAGAAGCAGGCGAAGGCTGTGCTAGGAGTAGAGGTGTCACTGGCAGGAGGTGGCTGTGCTCCTGACCTTGGTGTGATGGGGTGTCCCATAGGAGGGAAGCGTTTCCCTTCCCCTTGGTGTGGGGCAGTGTCCCCGTGAGCCCTGCAGGCGCATCCCTGCCATGGCGAGCGCTGGGTACCATGGCAGCCCCCGGCCCAGCAGGGATGCGGCAGTGGGATGCGTGCGTGGCGGAGGCTGCTGCTGGGGCATCCACAGGGAAGAGGTTTGTCCATGGGGAGCAGAGCTTTGGCAGGACGTGGCTGGCAGCCGTGTTTGTGGGAAGGGGAGGGATGCGCTGCCCTATGGGTGGCTGCTGGCCCTGCTGCAGCACGGTGGGATCCCGTGGTGCCAGAGCCCTCCTGGGGCTGCTGGAGCAAAGCCCGTGTTCCACCAGGGAACAATGACTCCGAGTTTCCAATTTATTCCCATTTCATTCCTTTGGTTGCCTGGAAAGCTCTTAGGGCGGGCGCAGCGCGTTGTCTGTCTGGCCCGTGTGGGCTCAGCCCCTGTCCTAATGCGCCCTTTGGCTGCTGAGGCACATGGAAGTGCTTTGCACAATGGGATGTGTGGGGATGAGCTGATGCTGGCAGGTACCTGTCTGTTCCTAAGGGTGGTCCCCAGCACGGTCGCTAACTCCTGGCACTGCAGCAGGCACTGTAGCATCCCCTCTCATCCAATGTGCAGCCTGGGAGGGAGGGGGAAGCATCCTGATGCTGATGTTAAAAATAGAGCGTTGGGGACGTCATCACATCCCCGAAGTCTGGCTCCTGCCTCCGTCTCTCTGGGTTGGGACGCGTGAACGTGACATTAGGGTCGTGGAAAAGGCATTTCCCCCGGAGACAGGCGGCTCTTAGGGATGGAGACACCAGCTTTTGGGGCCTGCAGACACTGGGGCTATTGGAGGGCCGGTTGCTCTGCATGTGTGATTAATAAAGACGTGGTGCATGACCCCAGGAATTAGCATTTGGCACAGGACCCGTTGGGAGGGAGGCAAGAGGGGAAGAACAAGCCACAGAAAACAAATGTCTCGCCTGAAACCCCGGGGGGCAGCTGTGGCTGGGGAGGCTCTGCTCTGTAGGTGGCATGGGTCGTGGCTCGGCACCCTCCCTCTGGGAGAGCGCTCCGGTGTCTGGTCCAGCAGCGCTGTGGGTTCTGCTGGATGGGGCGAGCGCTCCGTCTGCACGCAGGGACCTGCAGATGTTTCAGCCCCAAGAATAACTCCCTTGTGTGGGAATGAGCCCTCGTCCTGCTGGACCAGGAGCAGCATCTCCCTGGCTCAGCCAACTCAGCCTCACAGATCCGTGCCTCTGGGTGGTCTCTGCTCCACTTGGAGATGGGAGCCTGGAAACGGATCTCAGTGTCTGGGTGATGTGATCCCAATGAAACCTCCTGGGCTGGAAACCATCATCCCAAGGGGATGATGTGGAGGCTCTGCTCCGCTGGAGCCATGGGGCTGTAGGGTGTAGCCGGGCTCAAAACACAAACAGGAAGATGTCTGCTCCTGGGGTTGTGCTGGAGGAGCTTCTAAAGCAGGGTGTGAGAGCTGTGGGTCCATCACCAACCGGTGCTGCTCTATGGGCTTGCCATGTGGCAGTCCCCAGCACTAAGGGGGAGCCAATCCTGACCTCCCTGCCCGGCTCTGGGGCAGCCCCTCAGCACGAGGGCACCATCCTGCTGCCGGGCAGGGCTTGGGCACCGTGTGCCTGCTTGGCACAGTGCGAGGAGGGAGCGTGAGCGGGCTGTGGGCCATGCCCCATGGCGAGCGGCTGCCCTCAGCCGAGTGCCGGGCCCTCAACACCCCTCTCCTTGCCAGCCCTGCCCTCGCTCTTGGCACTGCCTGTGCCTGGCCATGGCGATGCTGGAAAGGGGCTGGCAGGAGGCTCTCCTGACCCTCAGCAGGGTGCTGCTCTGTGGGGCTGGCACCCCACGGCAGGCTGGAGGGCAGCGGTATCGCAGCACGGTGCAGCCGGTGCCTTGAGCCAGCTCCTCACCACCTCTGCTCTCCTCTTGCCAGGAACGACCGTGTGTCCCCCTTGTGACAACGAGATGAAGTCGGAGGCCATCGTGGAGCATCTGTGTGCCAGCGAGTTCGGTAAGGAGGGATGCTGGGGGCACCGGAGGGATGCTGCGGCTGGGTGCTGGACCGCTGTGTCCCTGCGTGTTGGGACCAGCGATGTGGCCGTGCCTGCAGGCAGCACTGTCCTTCCCCGAGGCCAGCGTGCCTCTAGATGTCAGTGTCGGCGCGCATCAGTGGCGGATGGGACAGGACTGGACACGTCCAGGATGTGTCCGGCTCCTGCAGCCCAGTGCACCCAAGGATGGGGACAGTGGGGCCCGGCGCTTGTGTTCCTCCATCACCCACCTGCAGTGCTGAGCATCCCACCCTGCCCCAGTGTGGGGTCATGCGCTGATGCAGGGATGCTGTGGGGCCCCTGCTGCAAGCAGGGAACTGAGTGGTGTGGGTCTGGGGATGGGGCAGAAGCGGCAGTGCCTGTTCTTTGGTGGGCTCAGTGGGGTTTGTAACTTAACCCTGCTGCTATATGCTTGCAGGAGTGATGGGTAGCATGGGCTCTCATTCTGCTTGCTTGGAGGGGTAAAGCAGCTTCCTCCAGGCTGTTACGGCTCGGTTTCTCTTTATCCAATGTCAAACCTAGGTGTAAAACACCCGAAGCCACGCTTAAAGAACGCAGAGCTACTCGAAAGCTGCGTCTTAAGCGTGTTGTGAGAGTGAGTCAGACAGTTGTAGGTAAACAGAACTTCAGGTAAAAGCAAAAGCATCGCAGGGACAGTGGTTGGCTTTCCGAGATCAAACCCAGAATGAGCTGGTTTTGGCATCCTTTCTGGGCTATGTAGCTTTCCCGGAAGGTTGTTAAAGGCATATTGAACAAGGTGTGCATTCCTTGGGGATTAGCACTTGGATATGCCCTGCGCCGGAGCGCGCTGTGCAGACCCAAACGTGCTCTGCGGGCCGGCGCGTTCCCCTCGCTGCTGGAAATGAAGTCTGCTCTCCTGCGGGTTTGGAATGCCGGGAGCCCCGAGTTCAGCCGGGGCTTTTCCTAACAGATCAAAGCATCGACGGGAACACCCATGTAAGAGCTCCCAGGAATGTGCTGGGTGATGGATGCGTGAGCTCGGTGGCTGGGAATGGGGTTTGCTTTTCACCCCACCGTGGGGCTGAGCAGGAGATGGGGGGAACAGGAGCTGCCCCATTGCATCCCTGGGGAGAGACTGGAGGCAGCTCCGTGCTCCTGGATGGGGTCCCCAGCAGACCTGGGGACCTCCGCTGCTGATGGGTCACTGCCCTACCTTGTGCCTCCCCACACAAGGAGCAAGCTGAGGTGGTGCCCCACTGTTGGGCAAGTGCAATACGAGTTCAACCCCATGCTTGGCATCAGCCTCTGCTGCTAAATACCCTCCTCGAGCTTCGGGCCAGTTACACAACAGGGAACAGGGGCCAAACCAGAGGAATTCATGGCCTCGGAGATGCTGAATTGCCCACAGAGCGTGTTGGTTATGGGGAAACATTGTGGTGACAGCAACCAGAGGATGGAAACGTTTCTTGGCAAGCAGTGGGCAGATATAGGGTTACCGGGTACCAGGAGCAGCAAATAGAGGGGAGAGCGCTCGCTCTGCCTTCACGATGGAAGACTTGGTTGTGGCTTGGATATGCTGTTGTCACCCAGCTCCTCCCTGCCACCAGACCTGCTCGCGTGGGTTTTCACTGATGGAGGTTTCATTGCATTCCTCCTTCTGTCACTGTGGTTTTCCTCCCATCCAGGAGGGTCCTGGGTGTGGGTAGAGCTGCCTCCAGATGTGCGCAGCTGGAGCAAGTGAGGAGATGTGCTGCAGGTCTTCCCTGTGAGGGAAGGCAGTGCAGGATGCTCCTGGGGATGCCCCAGCATTGACTTCAGGATGCAAAGCCCAGTGCGTGGCCCTCGGATCTTTGTTTAGTCGCTGTCATGGGGTGATTTCTCACTGAGAGCTATTTATCTGGCACTAGAATAAACTGAGATTTCTCCTGCACATCCTCCACCAAGGCAAACGCTGGCAGTTGACAGGTTACAGACCCTCACCAGAGCCAGACGTGTACAGTAAATGTTTAAACTAACGTGTGCTGCGCTGGTCCCTGCAGCGGTGTTATTGTGGGGTTGCACTTCTCTCCCAGTTACAGATGGGACACGAGGAGCACTTTGTCCACCATGGGTCTACCAGGGTGAGAGGTGGCTGCGTAACAGCTCTGGGAGGGATGCTGGTCTGGAGGACAGCGAAGGAAGAGAGCATCCAGCTGTGAGCATAGGGAGACTGGGAGGAAAAGGGACCAGGACAGAGCCTTGGATGAGCTGCTGAGGCAGCATCCTCACACTAAAGAGCTTATCTCCAACCTGAACTCCCCCTGTTTCAGTCTGAACCCATCACCCCTTGTCCCATCCCTCCAGTCCCTGATGAAGACCCCATCCCCAGCATCCTTGTAGCCCCCTTCAGACACTGGAAGGACCAGTTTGGGGGCACTGGGCTAACTGGAGCTGAGCTTTTGGTGCAGCCCGGGGGGGATGCAGGCTGAAGATGCGATCGCCCTCCCATGCCCCGCATCCCCCAGCCTCCGTGTGCTGCAGCCAGGGCTTGTTCCTCCCTCCTTGTGCTGGGCTGGCCCTGGCTTCATTCCTCTCTCTGTTTCTCTTAGTGATGTTATTTATTGTTTCTGCCCTTTCTCTGGGGTCCGGGGGGGATCCTGCTCGAGGGCTCTCGCTGCACGGGGGACTGCAGTGCAATCAATACACGCTGTTTGTTTTTCCCCCTGACTGACAGCTCCTTGCCTGCAGCCTTCTCCCGTTACAGCCCTAATGTGTCTTCTGGCAGGTTTCCTCCTTCTGAGTGATTTCTAAAGGAAGGAGCAGCGAGGCTGAAGGAGCAGCAGAGCTTTCCCTTCTCTCGTCTTCCCTCCCCTGCCCCTGAGGTGCTGGAATGGGGCCCCTGCCTATGCAGGCAGGAGAGCAGCAGCAGGGATGATCCCAGGCTGCAGCGTGATGATGAAGAGGGGCTGGTGCCTGCAATGGCAATGAGTGGGGTGCCTCGGTACGGGGCATCCCTTGGGGGTGTGGAGAGGGCACCCGAGTGCTGGGGTTGGGGTCGGCAGCACTCACACAGTGTGCCCGGTTTGCCTGGGATTCCTCTTTGCCCACGCTGGGAAGCGGGAGCTGGAGGGAGGTTGATAGGAATTGTTCCAAGTGAGGAAACACGAGTTGTGCTTTGTCAGGCTGGACCCCAACCAAAGCTCTGCGGGGCCTTTGGTGCTGCTGCTGCCAAGAGTAATTTGAGTCCGAGCGAGCAAACACTTTCATACACACAGACTTGTATTAGCAGGGATAAAAAGGGACATTTTTATACCTCCAGTGCTCCCTGTTCTCTCTGCATTAGGGATAACAGAGCTCTGGTACCATCTCATAGGAGCTGTTTGTCACTGGGGCCCCGTTCCTGGCTTGGTCTAAGGGGTTGTATCCCTGCCAGTGGGAGCTGTGGCTGGTGATGGAGCAGCCACCCCTGGAATCAGAATCAACCAGATTGATAAAGACCTTTAAGGTCATCACCTTCTCTTCTCCATCTGAACCCCCCAGGTCCCTCAGCCGTTCCCCATCACACTTGTGCTCCAGGCCCTGCACCAGCTCCATTGCCCCTCTCTGGCCCCGCTCCAGCACCTCAATGTCTTGCAGCTGGTATCCATGGCTGAGGATTGAATCTGTGCGAGCAAATGCATCCTGACCTCTCGGAGGCAATCCCTGCTCTTCTGCTCAGCACTGACCAGACCCGGTGTAGCACAGGGCTGGGGCTCGCCAGGAGGAAGCTGTTTGCTTTGGCAGCTCCCTTGCATCCTGGAGCCAGGTCTGGATCCATCCTGCCTGAGCCTTCCCCACTGCTGGCGGCGGCGTTCCCAGGTCCGGGGGGATGCCAGGCGAGGCGCATGATGCTCCCCACGCCAAGCCCTTTGTGCCTTAGGGAGCCAAGGGGCTGCCTCCCGCTGCCGTGGTGGATGAGCTCCTGAGCTGGGTGTGCAAGGAATGAACGTGCCCTCGGGCTGATGGGCAGGAGGATGCCAGAGCTGCGGGTCCAGCCCTGCTGCACTGACTGTTGTGCCCATAAAGCAGGCCTGAGCTTGGGGAATGTGGCCTGAATAGCGGGGCCGGGAGCCAGGTCACTGGCAATGGGTGAGAGCTGAGCAGTGGTTATCATGCCCTTGTTCTGGCTTGTGTGACTGCTTAGTCCCCAGCAAAACCTGGTATTCCTTGAGCCAGGCTGACTTTTACCTGGGTGGTTGTGCAAACTCCCTCTGTTATCATAGCATCACAGAATGGTTTGGGTTGGAAAGGACATTATGGGCATCCCTGGCTTGTGCACAGGGAACAGCTCCTGCAGCATAGGGCCCTCTTTGTCCCCCATAGGCTGTGGTACTTGGAGCTGTGCGGTTTCTCCTTTGCCAGATTGTTTTCTTCCTTTAGTAGCAAGGATCTAAACTTGCAGTGATCAGAGCAGAGCAATTTGCAAACAAGCCAGTTTGGAAGGGTCCCTTATGACTGGTATTAAACCATTCCTCCTGCTCTGCCAACCGCTGTGCTTGGAGTCAGAAAGGAGAAAGAAATGGAGGTTCACATTGCAGGATGCTGCTGCTGCTGCTGCCCAATGAATGTCACGGAGCTTAGAGCTGCTTGAAAACGACTTGCTTCATTTTCCAGCTCTGTTGCAAACTGATCTGGTTCAGTGTCTTTAGCTCCTTAAAGCTGGAGTCCTTTCCGCTCCTTAAACACCCTCAATTTGGGAAACAGATGCAGTGAAAGCTTCGCTCAGGTTTCCAGCCCTGGACTGTTTTCTTGTACAGGAGCAGCACAACACGAGAGGGCTCTTGGCAAGCACAAGCAGGTGCTTTTGGCACACGGGCAGGTAAATCCCATTGCTCCATGGCCGAGGGCAGGAGGGTGATCCTGCTGCCTTAGGGCTGTCACTGTGCTGTCATTCCTGTCTGGAACGGTGAGCAGAGCTGCTGCCCAGAGAGCAATGTGTGTTCATTGCTCCCAGTTCCAGCAGAACAAGACTTCAAGGAACGATGCTGCAGGGACCAATCTCCCTGCCAGAGCCACAGGATGCCGCCCATTGTCTGCTGCACAGGCTCTGAGAGGCAGATGAGAGGGGACAGCAGACAATTCATCACCTCTCCGAGCGCTATTCATCCGCAGCTATGAAGTGAACTCCCGGATGATGGAAATATGTTAGTAATTTTTTGGCCACATGTGCTTCTCCCCAAACCCGAGGCAGAGCCAAATGGCGCAGAAGCGATGCTCTAATGCACAACACATTTTCATCGTTTCTCCCATGTACCCTGAATTCCTCTTCATGGTCATGGCTGAAGGAACAGCGGGATTTGAGTGGAATTAACTGGGGGAAAACGCTGAAACCCAAAGAGGAAAGTATTTTTCCATGGAGGATGTAGGTGGAAGGGGCAGGCACGTGGCTGCCTCCGCACTGCTCTTTGCTGGGGCTTCACTGCTCCGATGTGGAGACGTTCGCTGCTTGGAAACCTGTTCCACAGCCACCCAAGGGCTGGGAGTGACTGCACACAGATGCTTGAGAGGCCAGGTTGACCTTTTAAATGGCCCTTTCAAGAGTCTCCATGCGTAAAGAGCAGGGAAATCACCTTGTTTACTCAGCTTTTTGCTAGCAAAGAGCATGTCCCTGCTTGAGCAAGTCTCCCTCTCAAATAAAAAGCCCTTGGCGTGCTTTGGGGAAGGGCCATCGGTGTTTTACCTGGCCATGGGGATGGCTCCACTTGTGGCCAGCAGGTCAAGCCATCACTGGGAGAGGGAAGCAGGGGGATGCAGAGGCTTTGTGCCAGTCAACTGCTCAGGAGTCATTGGTTTTCCCCTTCTCTCTGGCTTCTTTTCCAGCTCTGAAGATGACCATAAAGGAAGTGAAGAAGGAGAACGGGGACAAGATGATCGTCCCGCGCAAGAGGAAGGCGCTGAAGCTGGGCCCCATCCGGAAGAAGAACCTGAAGAAGCTGGTGCTGTACCTGAAGAACGGGGCTGACTGTCCCTGCCATCAACTGGACAACCTCGGCCACTACTTCCTCATCATGGGCCGCCAGGTGAAGACCCAGTACCTGCTGACGGCCATCTACAAGTGGGACAAGAAGAACAAGGAGTTCAAGAAGTTCATGAAGAAGATGAAGTCTCCCGATTGCCCGACGTTTCCGTCTGTCTTCAAGTGATGGGCAATGGGGGAGCCGCTGCCTGGACCTGGCCGAGCCCTCCTGCTCCCTCCTTATGCTCCTTGGAGCTTCCCTTGCTGACCCCAGGCTCCCACCTCCGTGAGCGTGACGTGCACCAGGCGCGGTTCACGCCTGCAGCATCCAGCATCCTGCTGCTGTGCGGATGCGTCCGTTCGTTTAAGCAGCAGCTACCAGGTAAAGAGGGCAAGCAGAGCGGGGCCAGGTTATGTCAGGAGGTGACACGCTTGCAGAAAGGACCCTCGTGACTGTCTTTGTGGCTGCAGGACCGCCCTAAAGTAACTCCTGTTCGAACCGGAGCCTCCCGATTATCCTCACGATTAAAGTTAATAGTGGACAACCTGTTACGACCTCTGATAAAACCTCCTCGTAGCTAATTGTCCTCACTGTAAAAAAGCCCCATTGTAGTCTAAACCTGCTTAGTTTAAGCCTTAACCCTGGGGTCCTTGTGATGCCTTGATAGAGCTGGACTGGGGAGCCCCCCACCCCGACGAGCATCTCTTGTGATGTGCCTGTGCTGGCCTCCGCACCCGGCCGAGCCTGGCACCGTGCTGATGGAGCAGCAGCCACGTTCAGCTCAGCATCCCCACATCACCTTCCATGGCACGTGTGGCCAAGGAGAGCTCGTGTCACTCCCTGACTTCACCACTGATGCTTTCCTAGTTTCTTCAGGCTGGTGGCAAAACACCGGGTTGCAGAAGGAGCAGGGCTTGTCCCTATGGAGCGCCATGGGAAACGCATCGTCTCCATCTTTACCTCTTTGCAGTTGCTGTGGGAGCTCTCAGTTTCCAGGTTTTTTATCTGTTTGATGTCTGACAGCTCGGCTTTGTGTCGTTCTGGGTTTGGGTTTTTTTTCCCCCCCCTAATCAAAATGTCATGTTAGCATGAGGTCAAAGAGTTTATGAAAGACAAGGAATATTGGATCCAAATGATTACATTTATCGACCAAGCTGAAATTCATTATTCTGTTAATTGGACCAGTTCTCTTTTCCATAGACCCCTCTTGCTCCACATTAATTTTACTGTCCTCCTTCCATTCACTGTTCTCATCAATCACAATTGCTCTTTAAGAGAACGAATCTCTTGCCATCTGAGATAGTCCTATTGTATTGCAGTTAAGTGAAATAACAAACCCTCATTTTGGAGGTTTCAACCCGCCCCACTCAAAGCTGGTGAATCAATTGTTCCTTAGCTGGGGCGTGCTGTTTGTTCCCCATGTGGGAATAAACAGAGCCGTGGAGTCAATGATAGAAGGATTCCATGAAGGAGCCAAGTGTATTGCGGAGCTGTGTTTCACAGCGAGCAGAGATGGATTTAGGACGTGAGCTCTGTCGAAGGTCCCACTCGGCTCCCTTAGGCCACCACTTGTAGTAGTTGTTTGATGCAAATTAATCATTGTAGATAACATGCTTTATCAGTGAATTAAAGAAAGAAACCGTGGGCTTCCACATCACAGATTGATGAGGTGCAGTCATCACAGCTGAAGAGGAACTGGGTGTGAATGAGGGATGCTCAACCCTTCCCTTGTGCTGGGGCTGCTGGTGGGTGTCCTCTTGGCCACCTCTGGCAACCTGCTGTTGATTCACTGCATTGAAAACACACACTTCAGCAGGAAGCAGCCAACCAAAGACCAAATCACGTCCCATGCACGTGGAGCCCCTTCCAGCCTATGCCGAGCCTTGGATGCAGCACTGGGTGAAGTGATGGTGCCGTGGCCTCTGGCACAGAGCATGGAAGGATTGGGTGGGAGTTTCTTAATGCCACTGGTGCTTTCCTCTGCACAAGCAGGTCAGAAACAATCAGTTCCTTCAAACGCCCCTCTCGCCGTGTGTGTTTGCCTTTGAGAAACCAATTGGAGCTGCTGGGGAGGTTGGGATGTGGTATTCCAGACACAGGGATACCTGGAAAGTGATTTTACCGTTCTCTTGACAAATTGCTCCGTAACTTGGCAACTGCATTGGGTCAACCAGGCATTGCTCCCCTTCCCTCCAGGCTCTTTTGGTACATAGAGGCTTTTGGTATCAATAGCAGCACTAAAAGGAGAGTGTTTCATGTACCATTGTGGTGTAAGCCCTTCTGGTGCCTTTACAGTCTTTTGATGTACCTTTAAATAGTTCATGTAGAGAAGTGTGGCAGATGAGCAGGCAAAACCCGGTGGTTATTGAGTTCACAGGAGTCCATAAACCCCGTGGTGATGGACAGTGCTGTGGGTACCCTCCTGGTGCGCAGACAACGGGTGATGCTGCCAGAGCCCCTGAGCCAGAAACAGCATCCTGTGTATACCTGTGTGTCCATGCAGCTGAGACCTTCTGGACATGGGGAAGGGAAGATGCTTTCTGTTGTCTGAGCCTCCAGCTCCCCCGTGGTCCATCCTTGCTGTGGGAGCCAGGGCCAGGAGATGTTTGCCATGCAGCATCGTGCCTCTGAAGAGGTCTGGGGGATGCGAGAGCCATGCAGGCATCTTGTGCAGGGCTGGGATCAAGGGGAGCCCCATGGCTCAGAGCTGTGTTACCATGGGGTAACACCGTGTCCTGCCACTGCTGTGGTGCAGGGTGCTTTGCTTTGGTTGCATCCCACAGGGAGGCAGGCGCTTGGGTGAGGTGATGGGGAGGGACTGACAGCGCAGGGGTGCTGGGGAGACCAATGTGTGGGACATCAGCAGAGGCAGCAGGGGAACAGGCTCGTGTGGCCGTGGGCAGCATCCCTGCTCCCATAACATGGCCAGTCCCTACACATGCCCATTGGGAATAAAAGGGGCGAGGGGCTGGATGTGCTTGGCAGAGCTCTGCTCAGATTTAAGGGCTTTGCTTGCCTCATCTCTGTCAGAGATGTGAGACCAGCTCAAGGTGCATACAAACTATCTCTTGAAGGGCAAATACTCGAAATAGGATCGTGATGGAGCATGTGGAAGCTGGTAAGGAGCAGACATGAAGTGCCTCAGTGCAGGCACAAGCGTGTGAGCAGAGCAAGAAGATCTTGGTGTCCTGGGAACCTCTTGCACGAGCGCAACGCCTGCTGCATCAGAGCACTGCTTGCCTTTCTCACAGTGTATTTAGATGAAGAAATCTGTACTTGATTGCTCTACTTTGTTTTAAACTTGTGGTTGATATAAACACATTATGGCTTCTGTTTTCTCTCTCCTGTGATTGGAACAAGAAACCCCTCAATAAAATGCCTTTTTTTCTTTGAGACTTGTTTTTATTGTTCCCTACTCATCCCATGTGGTGCTGACATCCAGGGCCCCAGTGCATCGCCTTCTTGTGAGCATCTTCCCCCTGCTGCCTAGCAAGGGATGATGTAAAGGTTTAAGTATTAGTTCCACAATGTTGGAGATAGAAAGGTCTACTGTCATATTACTACTGCTTGATTACACCAGTTTATCTACATAGTTGTTCCCCACTCTCCCCGTTGTACACCGAGCAGCTGAAGCTCGTTTTCGCTTACACTGATGCAAAGATGGGAAAGCAGCAAAGACCCTGCAGCAGGCAGTACTGTCTGCAGGGATTGCCTTCCTCCCATCTCCGGGGTGCAAGGAGAGGAGCTTCCTGGATCACTGCCCTCTTTGGCCTGGCTTCAGCCCCCAGGTTATCTTGATCCAAGTCATTTACCCACCCATGTGGATGTGCTAAGTGATGAGTGGATGGCCAAGGGGTGGGAATGGCCCCAGGTGAGGTTTGATAACCAGCGGGCTCTTCCTGCAGTGCTTTTGGCCGCAGACCCTGGCTGCAGCAGCATCCTCACTGCAGGTAAGGTCAGAGCTGCTGCTCCCAGCTCAGAGTTGGTGTCTGGGGTAGTTTGATGTTGGGGCGAAGGCTGGCTCTTTGCATTGTGCTTAGCTGCTGGGTGTTGTGTAGTTACTAACCAAAGCATCAGGCAGGGCTGAAGAGATGCAAGGAGCTCCTCCATGTATGTACTGGAATCTTCCAAGCTCGGTTCCTTTATGGGCTTTTAGTAGCATCTGTCTAGAGCAGGGAACTGGCAACTGATGTGTTTTGAGGCCATGTAAAAAGCAAGACTTGCAGTCGGCTGCTGCAGGTGGGTGCTTCTGCTGTCCTTGTGTTTGTTGGGTTACTCTCTGGTGAGACAAGTCCATTGAAGCCTGCAATGTGGGCAGTGTGACCTGTGGGGAATGCTCGTGCAGGGCTTTCTAGAAGCCCAGAAGCATCTGAGGCTGCTTGAATCGGCCCCGTGCTTAGAAGAAATCACTGATGTTTGTGCGCTTTGTGGCTGTGCTTTACATCCGAAACCAGTTCAAATACTGATGGTTACAACGAGTTCTAGTTTAGGTTGCCAGCACTTGCAGAAGTGCTCAGTCTCAGCTGAGAAGCTTTGTTCTTGCTGGGAGATGACCTCCAGTCTTGCCTCACTGGGGACAGCTGGGTGTTCCGAGGGACAGGAAAGTGTCACCAGTGGGATGTGAAGCTCGGATTGAACAGAGCTGGATGTGCCCCCTGCTTTGTGAGGGTCTGCTCTATGGGGCTGAACTTGACGTGTTTATTGTGCCCCCCCTCCCGTGTGTGTGAATGCTCACAGGGACGTTGTGGCTGCACAAAGCACCGTGTGTGCTCGGGTCCTGCTCAACTGCTGGGTGCACAGAAATGCCTGGAGTTAGGGGGGAGCTTCAGCCCTTTGCTCCTCTGCAGCTGAAGCCTGAATGCACTTTGGTTTAGGCTCCCATACTGGCAATGGGATGCTCAGGTGGTGGGACTCCTGGGTGAGGGTTGCAGCAGCTATTCTGGAGCAATAGGTTGCTGTCAGCCCGGGCTTGTCTGGAGCATGAATTGTGTATGGAATAAAGCATCATCCTTTTGCGACTCCATTTACCCTCCCACTAACGTTCATCTTGTTGGCTCCAGTGTCCCTGCTGTTGAGTACTGCCTGTTAATAGGGTTCCTGGCCTCTAGGTTGTAGTTGGGTTATAAACAAGTGTAGTTTTCTTTCATGCTATGCTGGGAAGAGAGTTGATCAATGAGGGAGGGTTTCTTCTCCTGGGGTAGAGCAGGTACCAGCTTGGTGATGGGGAGCTCTATTCATCCTGGGCAGGGCAAGGGGGTGATGCATGTCTGGAAGGGAAAAGGCCTCCTGCATTTACCTGCTCCTCTGTTGGCCACACAAAGCAGAGACTGGGAGAGATGTACAGAGCATCAACAGGAGACAATGTCCTGAGGTGATGAACAGAGCAGGAGGTGGGAGAGAACAGGGTTCCTTTCCTTTCAGTCCATTGTGGAAAGGAGATCCAGCAAGAAGAGGTGGATGCAGTGAGGCTGGGGGGGGGGGCACAAGGATGTGGGAAATGGCTCCCTGCTCCCTCTGCTCCTGATAGGTCATGGATGAGGGGCCCCTATCCCGACCCCAGCCACAACTGGGGCTGGAAACAGCAGGACCTGGGAGCTGGAACTGGCTTCTCATCGGCTCACCAGGCAGACATGCACCGTTCTGTGCGAGTTCCCTGTTTAATCGGCTCTTCTGCATGCAGGTAACCCAATCCTGCAGCAATAACAGGGAAAATACCCCAAACCAAAGCTCCTTCCTTTGGCTGGCAGATGGA